TGTGCAGGGTGAAGTGTTCATGCTGTGCAGCGTGAAGTGTTCACACTGTGCAGGATGAAGTGTTCATGCCGTGCCGGATGAAGTGTTCATGCCGTGCGTAATTAAGTGTTCATGCCATGCAGGATGAAGTGTTCTTGAAGTGCATGGTGAAGTGTTCACGCCGTGCAGGGCGAAGTGTTCACGCCATGCAGGGTGAAGTGTTCTTGAAGTGCAGGGTGAAGTGTTCTTGAAGTGCAGGGTGAAGTGTTCACGCCGTGCAGGATGAAGTGTTCACGCCCTGCAGGATGAAGTGTTCACACTGTGCAGGATGAAGTGTTCACACTGTGCAGGATGAAGTGTTCACGCCGTGCAGGGCGAAGTGTTCACGCCGTGCAGGGCGAAGTGTTCACGCCGTGCAGGGCGAGAACATCGCTCCATCGACCCCCCGGCATTTCTCTCCACTTTGAGTAATCAACGTCAGGCGTCCACTGTATTTGTCTGCTGTGCGTGATCAGCCCACTTCGTAGAGGTGTCATCTGTTACAGCCTCGTCGCCTCTTAACAAAGAGACACGGCGCCCGGTTGGGCACCTTACCCGGTCAAGTAAAATTATTTAGTTCCAGTAACTAACTGAACCTTTACTAACATAGCACATAAATGACGTCACGCACCTCGGGAGGGGGGGTGGGGTGAGTCAGACATTTGTGACGATGTGTGACGAAGGGGGGGGGGGGGCGTTGAGAAATGTGACGTCACATCAAAATGCGCAACTTTAAATAAATATAGACAACACGTTCTACTTAATTAAATAGACGTTTTAATAAATGTTTTCTCCTACAATATCAGAGTGCAGCGCCACATTAAATAACGCACTACAATGACAATAGTTCAAAGCGATTTGAAGCATGTTTTATTTTTTTGGGGGGGGGGAGGGGGGGGCAGAGCTTTGTGACGTCATATTTGAGGGGGGGGGGGTAAAAAATCGTCCAAAATCGCGTGACGTCATTTACGTACGGCCCCTATCCCGTACAGCGGACAAGTCAGGAATAAGCGGAGCTCAAAAAGTTCACACGAGCTGTTAGCGGTGACTCCGGAACACGTTGGGGGGGGGGGGGTGTGGGGGGGGGACACGTGTTGACGCTTTTCAGGAATGGAATCCACTGACGACCGTGCCTATATATGTGTGTGTGTCGTATATTGTAGCTAACAATGACACGCGTTACCATGCCCGGTCCCGTGGTGGTGTGTGTGTGTGGTGGGGGGGGTAAAGTGTGACTCCTGACTCTCAGTGCCTGACATGGCACTGCGAGGAGGTCGGCGTCGGAGATGCACAAACAAGCCGAGGATTACTACTCATTGTTTTTTTTTGGGTAAAGTCACGTATGATGTAAAAATACAATTAAATTATATTAAAACAAAAAAAAACAATCACGACGTTTCAATCACAACGCAAGCGATCTTCATCATCAGTCACGAAAGCTTTAATACTTTATTAAGCCAAGGATTGGTTGCTGGACCACCCCCCTCCCCCCCCCAAACCAGTGCCGGATGAAGCGAGTGCGGGACCTGGGGAATGTGTGGCAAAGGGGCCCTAAATAAAATAAATAACGTAAATATTAAAACACACATTTTTGTTACTTACATAGTAAAGTAATTGTATTTGTTCATTTGCTACACAGCCAGATAAAATATGACAAATCGCTAACCTTAAACACCCAGTCGTTCATAACAGTTGAAGGCGGTATAGTATTATAGTAATAGAGCAAGTGCAGAATCACTGAAACGGAATTGACAGCTTGAAAGCATTTAGCGCGGGGTCCCTTGAAAGTGCTGGGCCGGTAGCAGTAGCTACTACTACACGTGTAGTAGCAGCTACTACACGTGTAGTAGCAGCTACTACACGTGTAGTAGCTGCTACTACAGCTACTACAAGCTACTACTAGTGTAGTAGCTACTACATATGTAGTAGCTACTACATATGTATTAGCTACTACATATGTAGTACCTACTACACATATGTAGCTACTTTTGCTCGGAGGAGAATCAGGCACTGCCGTCACCCCCCCCCCCGTCTCCTTCGCAGGAGGATGAGTTAAGAAGCCCGCGGACTTTTTATTGTGGAGCTCACAGCAGGAGAGAGACATCGCTTCCAGGAATTGACTCACAGGATCTCGGTTGTGGTGGGGTGGGGGTTGTGCTTGACTCATCGTCGCGGGAAAGGTTTGCAAGTTCAAATCCCGGTCAGGGTTCCACGCAGCCCGTCATGCGGACATAGGCGGAGTCTGACTTCGATGTTTGGGTGGCAGGGCACAGGGGGTTTGATGTCGGTGGTGGCCAGGACAGCTTTCAGATGTCACGCTGTACTTACGCCCGTCGTGGCCCGGGAATTGAACTCGTGTCACCGGGTTTGTAGCATGGAGTGATAACCGCTCAGAAGAATTTCTTCCAAGGCGGTAAAGTTGGGAATGTTAACGGCAGCGAAACATTCTTTGGAAGTCCTCGTTTTAGCAGTGGGTTTACAAAGGGCTATCTCGTGGAACGGATAACACGAAATAATTGTTTAAAAAAAAAACTATGGCGTTATCTCCTAGGGTCACTTCATATATATAAAAAAAATTAGCTACCGAAAAAGCAAAGATCACCACCGCCTAAAATGGTGGGCATCTTAAAAAAAATACAACAACGGCGGCAATTTTTTTTGTAATTTATAGGTGCCTAACGTTTATTTGTGAAAAGTTACACCATTGTGAATGTCTAACATGGTTGTATCGCAATGCAAAAACGATTACGGTCATCCTCGCAGCGGCGGCTTTTGGCTAATCGTCGGACAAAGAGGGCCACCGCATCGCGCGCTTTCAGATCGGAGGGAAGAGCGTTCCAGACGGTCACAGAAGCGCATCCGAAAGCGCCGCGCGACGACGACGATGATGATGCGGCGGCCGCCGCCGCCGCCTTTGTTCGACGGCTGAGCCAGAGACGCGAGGAGGAACCACGGACGAGAGGGAAAGTCAGTAAGCCAGGCGGTGAGCCCGCGCCAAATCCCTACCCCCCAACCTCCGCCCCCAAGCTCTGCGATCCTCCATATATTAAGGCGCCATTGGCCAACTAATGAGTGCCAAGCCACGCTTTGCGAGGCGGCAACACTCCATCCTACACAGGTGGGACAGATGGAGTTGTGCCGCACTGCATTCTCACGGAAAGTCAGAGGATGATGATGGCACCTCCATGTTGACGGGGGAAGGGAGTTTCACAGTCGCAACACACATGCTCGGTGGGTGATCCACCGACTGTCGCTGGCTCCACGGTGCTGGATTAGGGGCAGGCACGTGGATAGTCACCACCGCCACCACCACTGCCAACGCTGCCACCACCACCACCACCGCCACCACCACCACTACCAACGCTGCCACCACCACCACTACCAACGCTGCCACCACCAACGCTGCCACCACCAACGCCACCACCGCCACCACCACCACCACTACCAACGCTGCCACCACCACCACCACTACCAACGCTGCCACCACCAACGCTGCCACCACCAACGCCACCACCACCACTACCAACGCTGCCACCACCACCGCCACCACCACTACCAACGCTGCCACCACCACCGCCACCACCACTACCAACGCTGCCACCACCAACGCTGCCACCACCAACGCCACCACCACCACCACTACCAACGCTGCCACCACCAACGCCACCACCACCGCCGCAAACGCCGGAACCAACGCGGCTAAAATGTTTCCGGATTTCACGGGGCAAGCACGCGCGTTTGCTCGGGGTTATTGTCCACGTCACGGGGGCCGTCCTGGCTGGGCTTTGTACACGTGCAATTAATCACGCGATTCTTCCCGGCAATCGCCGCTATTGTGTTAGAACGCCGCCCTGTGGATGGGCTAACTTGCACCGCAGCCACAGACTCCCTATAAGCGCCGTACGGCGAAGTCCTCGCTTAACGCGTTAAACAACGCGACGCGGGGCACGCGCGCGCGTTATAACGCGGTTCCTGATCGGTGGACGACGAACTACTTACTCGGGGAAGTAGTTCACGCGGAAGGATACGGTAACGCGCCGCCTCCTTACTGCTGGTACATGGTACAATTCGCGGTAACGTTGCGTTATTTACCGGGGGGGAATTGTTTTCGCTTCAAGCGGCGCTCGTCAACAAACCGCGTTAAACGAGGGACTTGCAAGTTCCTCGCTTAACGCGGGGGGGAGGGGGGGTTGCGTTCCTAAAAAAAAAAAATCGCCGCTTGTCGTTGTTATGTTAAATGATCGATCACGGAATCGATTTCACCTACCGGGGGGGGGGGGGGCGAAGCGGGTGCGGGGGGTGGGGGGTGCCGGGGGGGGGGTGAATTAGGGATGAACGAATTGGGGAAAATATCAATTTTTCTGATAGATATTGCGATTGAGATTTGATTTGCGATTGTTTTTTTTTTAAAAGTCAAGCTTCAGTTGAATATTCACTGCGTGATAGATTTAAAACCATGTGATTTCAGTTCAGTTTCCAGTTTATTTTGGTATGGCCCTGTGAGCCACCCGGCTGATGGAGCATTACCACATGATACCATCAAAACATGAACTGCTTTACATATCTTCATGCAAGGATGAGAACTTAAAGGATATTAATTGCTTCCAACATTTATTAAAAAGTTTTAATTGAAATAGACGCTAAATAAATAAAGTTATAATAATAAAAAATAAAACAATTCCAATAAGTAATAGGACTTTCCAAATCGCTAAAAAAAAATACGCAGCCTTTGCGATTTGTTAATCGCATTGTTTCAAATTGCGATGAATCGATTTGAAATCGATTAATCGTTCAGCCCCCAGGGTGAATCGGGGTGCGGAGGGGCGGGGTGAGGGGGCGGGGTGAGGGGGGGGCGGGGGGGCGGGGTGAGGGGGCAGGATGAGGGGGCGGGGGTGAGGGGCGGGGTGAGGGGTGAGGGGGGCGGGGTGAGGGGTGAGGGGGGCGGGGTGAGGGGGCGGGGTGAGTTCCCCCCCCCACCCCACGCTGCCCCTCCCCTCACTCTGCAGCCTCCCTTCCGTCATGGCCGCGTGCGTGGAGGCGCCTCAGCCGATCGCCCCCTCGAGCGTGGCCAGCGTCTTCGACTCCATGGAGTACGGCCCGGCTCCAGAGGCGGCCGACGTGGCGCAGGTGCAGCATCATCATCATCATCATCCTCCTCTTCATCTTCCTCCTCCTCTTGTTGTTGTTGTTGCTGCAACCGACGAGTCTTGCTGCTCCGCCACCCACCGCTCGCTGTGACATCTGTGGGGGGTGGGGTGAACAAGAGCTTCATAGCTCATCGGATTACTCCGCGATAAATACAAAAAAACGTTCCGAGCGAGTGACGGCGCCGCCGCCGCCGCTGTCGCCTCGGCTGAGGCGGACAGAAGCCGGAGCGGGCGGACGGGCGGGGGCCGGGTCCCGTGCTTCGTCGTCGGCGCGAGTTTTCTAGGAAATAGCGGAGGCGGGCCGCAGGCTTCGTGTCGGCCTCTTGAGGGGCGGCGATTAATCGTCGATTAATTGTCGGCGATTGGTGTTCGATTAATCGTCGATTAATCGGCGTCGAACTCGGTAGGACCCCCCCCCCCCATCCAATATTGCGTCCGAGGCAAAACCTTTAACTCAGAGATACTGATTATGAGAAAGAGCGAATGGACCTGTGAGAGAGCCTGCTGCATTTTAGAGAGAGAAATCCAGGTAGGCAGTTTGAGAAAACATTTTAACATTTTATTGGGAAATGTAATGCAATGCAACGCAGTCAGCTAGCACTCCCCCCCCCCCCCCATCTCTCTCTATTTAAGACCTCAACACATGCATTGGGTCTCTGTGTGTCTCTCTGTGTGTCTCTCTGTGTGTCTCTCTGTGTTGTGTGTGTCTCTCTGTGTGTCTATGTTGTGTCTCTCTGTGTGTCTCTCTGTGTGTCTATGTTGTGTGTGTGTCTCTCTGTGTGTCTATGTTGTGTCTCTGTGTGTGTCTCTGTGTTGTGTGTGTCTCTGTGTCTATGTTGTGTCTCTGTGTGTCTATGTTGTGTCTCTGTGTGTGTCTCTGTGTTGTGTGTGTCTCTCTGTGTCAATGTTGTGTGTCTCTCTTTGTGTGTGTCTATGTTGTGTCTCTGTGTGTCTCTCTGTGTGTCTATGTTGTGTGTCTCTCTCTGTGTATCTATGTTGTGTGTCTCTCTCTGTGTCTATGTTGTGTGTCTGTGTGTCTATGTTGTGTGTCTCTCTGTGTCTATGTTGTGTGTCTCTGTGTGTCTATGTTGTGTGTGTGTCTCTCTCTATCTGCTTGTGTGTCTGTCCGCGTGTCTCCGTGCCTGTGTTTTGTCTCTCTCTCAAATGTAGTTCTACCTGATGACGGTTGCTTGTGTTGCAATCGAAACGTCGTACTCTATTATTTAATGTATTTATTTTCTTTCAACGTGACTTTACCGAAAGAGCCAAAGAGTAATTCCTGCAGTCACGAAAGCTTCAAATCAAATTCGAGGCACTGAAATGTCGAAGCCGCTCCAGATAGTTTTGTGTTTTAATTATTACACGCTTTTATTTAACTCGCTCTGTTTTATCCTCAAATCTTGTAACTCAGTTTTAACCCACTTCCCAATGTGGTATCGACTGCAAAACTTGGTATACCTATGTCATACTGATGACAATACTATATTCTATCATTAAATATATATTTTAAAACATTCTTTTGTATATGTTATGTTTCTGCTTGGGTCTAATTGTCCGTGCTCAACTGACGTTGGCTGTAAATCACCACGGGCCCCTTACGTTGTGGCAAGCTTCGGGGCCACTTCCTGGAGTCGCGGAGTTCTGCCAATACTCGTACGGTACATTTCATTAAAGCGTGTTTTTTTTAAAGGAATTTAAAAAATATTACTTATTTCTCTGCGCGGTGGAAGGGAAACAGGTGGGCGTTGGGTTATTTATCGATGTTTAGTTCGCATTTTACCGGTCTTAATTTTGTTGTGTATAACGGCGCTCGCTCGCGCTTATTTTGAGTTGTAGATTTAGAGGACTGTATCGTGTTTTATTGTGGGCGCTGGCAACCTGCGGCCGGATCTCGTTAAACTAAAATACTAAAGTACATTTATTTATTTTTTAGCAGGTGAGGCGCCCATTGAGCTATGTAGCCGTCTTTTTTTTTCAGAAGCGACCCTGGGCCATCGCAAATGGATAGCTGCTCGACGAAGTGGGCTGTCAATCACTTCTTTGAGCTATCGGGCACGGGGAGAGAGACTGTGCGAGAGAGACAGAGAGAGAGAGAGAGCGAGAGACGGAGACAGAGAGAGACGGAAAGAGAAAGACAGAAAGACCGAGAGAGAGACGGTAAGAGAGAGAGTGAGAGACGGAGAGAGAGCGAGAGACCGAGACAGAGAGAGACAAAAACAGACAGAGAGAGACAAAACAGACAGAGAGAGACACGGAGAGAGAGAGAGACACGGAGAGAGAGAGAGACACGGAGAGAGAGACACGGAGAGAGAGAGAGACACGGAGAGAGAGAGACACGGAGAGAGAGAGAGACACGGAGAGAGAGAGACACGGAGAGAGAGAGACACGGAGAGAGAGAGAGACACGGAGAGAGAGAGACACGGAGAGAGAGAGACACGGAGAGAGAGAGAGACACGGAGAGAGAGAGACACGGAGAGAGAGAGACACGGAGAGAGAGAGAGATACACGGAGAGACAGAGACACGGAGAGACAGAGACACGGAGAGAGAGACACGGAGAGAGACACGGAGAGAGAGAGAGACACGGAGAGAGAGAGAGACACGGAGAGAGAGAGAGACACGGAGAGAGAGAGAGACACGGAGAGAGAGAGAGACACGGAGAGAGAGAGAGACACGGAGAGAGAGACATGGAGAGAGAGAGACACGGAGAGAGAGAGACACACGGAGAGACAGACAGAGAGACATGCAAAACTCCAAACAATATCAACACATGCAGCAAATTGTGACATCTTACATATAATTGATGGGGGGGAGTTAAAGGTCGTGGCCATCGTGAAGAACGGAATGCTCCGGGCGGGAGTCGACAACGTTTTAAACTGGCAGGCAAAATCGTGTGCACCAATCCCGGCAATCGTTGCATAAGAGTTAATGCGCAACACGACTTTCTACCGAGGGATCACGTTTCAACCACCAAACATCGTTGCCGTTCGCCAAAAGAATGGAGTTTATCTTGTTGGGTTGGAGGCATGCGGCTGGAATAACAGAGTGGTCCGGATGTCTCGTGACCCTCCGCCCCCTCCCCCCCTGTTTAATTCGCTCAAAATGTGCTGTTTTTTTTAGGCGAGGTTTATTTATCCATAATACAGGTGTTTTGGGTTAGATCGCGTAAATATATAAATGTGTCGTTGTTAAACCCGCCACCACCCGACAGCCAATTAGTGAGGTTTGTCACGTAAACAGAACCGTGGCCAATTCGTTACTAGTACAGCACACCGGTGTGTTGGAGAGCAAATTCACAACATTTACAATCGGAGTACGACGTTTCGCCTGTAATTACAACTAGCTTCATCAGGCGACAGCCAGATTTGTGGCGGGTTTAACGGCATATTTATATTTACCCGATGTAACCCAAAAACACCGATATTATGGGTGCTATTTGTCGCGAAAGCCTACTGCGTGGTAAACTGAACATTTTCTCTTTGCTATGGTAGTGTGCTGGCTACTATAGCAAAGAGTAAATGTTCAGTTTAACACCTGCCCGCCCTGAGGCAAGCAAGCGAGCATTTCTTTTTTTCACTTTGACCTCGTCGTTGTGTTCTCAGGAGCTGGAAATGGCCGGGTAAATTTTGCAGATAACATTTTAGGACAAAGTCGAAATACTGCAACGTGCAAACAAGAAGCACGGTGGTTAGGAGATATTACCTACATTGCCCTGGTATGAAGGAGGAGGTCGTGGGTTCGATCCCGACGCTGACGCCTGCTGTTTATTTGGAGTTTGCGTGTGTCTCTCTCTCTCTCCGCGTGGTCACGTGGATTTTTCTCCGGGTCCTCCGGTTTTTCCCTTCACATTTATAATCAACGTGCATTTAGAGTGTTCGGCTGCGGGAAATTTCCACGTGATAAGCCACTTTAATGGGCGATCATCTGTGGCCATGTCGCTTCTGAAAAAGAGCTATGTAGCTCAGTGGGCCTTACCTGGTAAAATAAAAATAATTCAGCATTCCAACGGCGCACATCTCTATTGGTAGTCCAGGGCATCGTGGAAATTAAGCATTCTTATGGGTTGTGGCCAGTTTATCAGCAAGACAACCAAATGTGTACGTTCAACAAGGTGGTGTCTCCTTGGCTGATGGGTTGGCCGAGATTTGAACTCGCACCATTGTGAGGTTGAGCACTCTGCTGCAGGGATACTTGACAAAAAAATATGAGTGGTGGCCGTTTTGTATATCTTGGTGTTGGATCCCGAGACTTCGTTTAGCCTTGAATTCACAAGTGGCCAGTTTGCGGTCTAGCACGTGTATGGTACCTTGTAAATAATTGCACACCCGGTTGATGGAAGCTGCCCATGGCTGTGAAGGGGCTTAAAACTGCAAGCATATTTATCCCCCCGTCTATTTAAGACCGAAGCAGGAGGATTTCTCCACAATTCTGGCTGTCCGCCTGATGACGCTGGTTGTAATTATTGGCAAAACGTCACGGTACCTGAATTGTAAATGTTGTGGTCGTTACTTTCCAACACAACGGTGTACTGTACTAGTAACGAATTGGCATGTTTTGTTTACGTGATAAACCTTACCAATTGGCTGCGTCGGGTGGTGGCGGGTTTACTGACGCGTTTATATTTACGGGATCTAACCCAAAAACCTCTGTTATGGATAATATTGGCCGCGAAAGGCTGACTACTCGGTGTTAAACAAACTGTAAACACTTTGAATTTCAAGCTGCTGGAAATGCCAAAGTCGATCACGTAAACCTCGCAGACGATGCGAACTTGCACGTTGCTGACGTGGCTGGGTCGGCTCAGGGGTCAGCGCTGAGCTGGCATTGCTAAGATCCTGGGGGTTTCAAAGCCAGGCAGGGAGTCAAGTCGATGGCCTCAGTCCTGTCACCAATAACTGCACAAACCTTCCCCCCCCCCCCCCATGTATATAGCATCCTGCACGAAACCAAATACGGCTGAAAAATATTACGGTCAAGCAAATAAAGCCGGCATCAGAACCAAGTTTAATACCATTGAACATTATTGATCTGGTCGTGTGATACAATCATGAGCAGTGAATATCAATGTGACCCTTGCATTTGTGACTTTTGTTCCTTACACCTCAGTGGGTCCATGCCTGCTCGTAAACCTGTGATTTATCAGATGTTCCACTTCATACCAGGAGGGTGGGGTCTCAGGGAATGCAGGGGTTACTGCGGCTGTCTTGTGTGCATGGCAAGAGTGTAACAATGCGCCGATTAAAATCGATTCTTACGCTCGCGGGTATGTTCGTCAAAAAGTGCTTGTAAGAATTCGTTATTTCTGGAAGCATTGTTATCGGTCCACCACAAGTCAACTGAAGCGAACTAATCTGGACGCAGGCTCATACGTTGCTACTACTCATCCACGCGAATGCAAGAATGCAATTTTCAATGTTGGTATACCTTGCATGTAGCGGGTTTATATTAGCATCAACGTCATTCCATAACGAAGCACAGACATGAAGTTTCTTAAATCGCTCTGTTACTCCTACAGCTTCGCCAAAAAATTATCATCATCGTCGCATTGTGCAAGTGGCCGATTTGTTTGAGTGGCACGGCTGGGGCCAATCGCCATGCCATCGCATCCCCCGGGTCACTGGCAAAAGCTGTTACGTGCATATAGCAGGGGCTGGGAGGTTTTAATCATTGGTTTAAAACAATTAAATATCCCCACCCACCATTGTCATTCGTACTGCAGAGCTACTCTGAAAAACGGCCAGTGCCGGAATTGTCAGCCTGGTTTGTGATATATCGGCGAGTGGTGTGTGGGTGCACCGATCGCTACGCTCGTGACGGAGCGTGTGGAATTGCGGCGCACGTGAGAGGGTCTGTTCTTTACAATGTGTGCAAATTTTGACGCGGGTTATTTGCAAATGTTGAAGTTATGACCATCGAGGACAAACGAGGCTGTAGGCGTGGGGCGCGAATTTTAAGGTGAAATAACACATGGTGGTGGTGAAAACGATCCAAAAATAGTCATTGATTCCTGAATACAGTCAAGACCGCATCGTGGCGTTTTGTTTTGTTTGTGATTTCTGTTTTCATTGGTGTACTTTATTGTATTGGGTTTTCTTTTTGTCATTTTGGTCATTTAGGTGACGGTCATTTTGGTGACCCAGTTCACTCTTGCCAAAGTCGGCTCATCCTGGTCTCTTTGAGTTCTCTCCTGGTACAACAAAATAAATCCGACCTTGAATATAATCCTTTTGTGGCCTGCAAATTGTAAAATGCTATAAGACGGTGTTAATGATGGATGATAATCGTTTTATGCATTCTCTTTCTCTCACCCCCTTCTAAAAACGTTCCTTTGTATTTAGTCTTAACCGCACATTTTCTTCGTAACTTTACATTTGTATTGATGCATCACTTGGAGTTGGAGAAAGTGAAGTCCGATGGTTTTCCAGGAGACTTTACGGAAACCCTTTCCCGCTTCGGTAACATAACGTGCATGCCATCCAAACGAAACCAGAAGAAAAACGAAAATAAAATAACTTGAGCGGTACCGAAGCTCCCACAAGGCCATGCGAGAGGGCGTGCGGCACAGTTTGGCGCCAGCCATCGTTGAGTGCAGTCGCTACGGTTCTCCTTAAAAACGACGGCGCTACGTCTCTCCAAATAAAATTAACCCCGAGCCGCTTGCGCGCTCCCAAGATTCGGTGGTGAACGGGACACCCACCCTGTAACTTGCAGGCGTCTCGGACGGGAAAGGGTTAATTATAAGACGTGTAATTATCTTCGAATTCTCTTGTGGCATTGCGCATCACGGATCTTGTATCTCTTCTACCGCCCTTCTCTCTCCCCACTTCCCCTCTGCTCCAGCAAATCACCTGTCTCAACCTACCTCCAATGTACACACGATGGGAGGTCATGCCTTTTCTTCTGCTGCTCCTTCTGCCTGAAAACGACGTTTCCTACACTGTCAGCACTATTGAAATGCAAAAACACAGCGATTCGACCCGTAAACGCCTGGATCTTTCCCGTCAACTGCCAAGATGCCTAACATGCCCTCGAGGTGCGCCTAGCGTGGCACAAGCGCTGCGTTGATGCGACCGTACTTGGTGGCAAATGTGTTGGCTGTTGGCATACATATGTGCTGCCACTGATGCACATCACTCTGTGTGCGCGCGTGCGTGTACACGGTCGTGGGGACCGCCAGCGCAACGGTTAGCGCTACGCTGCGCTACTAACCCGGTGACCCGAGTTCGATTCCCGGTCACGCACAACACCAGTTACGATTATCTGAATCGCCCCTGGGCCTCCCCTAGGCCGACTCGGCCTCAGATAATTACCTGGTGCCTTGTGTAAGCATCGCCACTGGGGAGACAAAGGCGGTCGGGCGTGGTGCTCGCCACCCACCCCCCCCCCCCCATGTGCCGTGCCGGCCTTCACATGTGCTACTCGCTAACGGCACTTGCCCCAACAGCCTGGTAAGGCTATACGGGGGATCTTTGTCTTGGTATGCTTGCATACTGGTGTGTACGTGCACATCAACCTCTATGTGTGTGCGTGTAGGCATGGCTGGATTCCCACGGCCGAAGTCTGGGCCACTTTATCGATGGCAAGTGGGTGAAGCCAGAGGGGCGTCCCACATACACCTCTCGCAACCCTGCCACCGGTAAACCGTTTTTCCCCCCACATTCGTTATTACAACCACCACCACCACCATCATCATCATCATCAGCCATGATCAATCCACTGCTGGACGACGGCCTCCCCCAAAGCCGTCGACAATGCCTCACGCAAATTCTGCGACGTGATAATCCGTCTAGCGTCTTCACACGAGGCTCCGTCTCCGCGGCGATTGGTTCCGTCTCCACGGCGATAGGTTCCGTCTCCGTGGCGATCGTCTCAGTCTCCGTGGCGATCGTCTCCGTCTCCGTGGCGATAGGCTCCGTCTCCACGGCGATCGTCTCCGTGGCAATCGGCTCCGTCTCCGTGGCGATAGGCTCCGTCTCCGTGGCGATCGGTTGCATCTCTGCCTTGTGCGATGCTACGCCTAGGCAACCGTACGACCGCTTATTCCTACCACGCGCGTCGTAGTTTCGTTCATATAAGGTTTGACCCTTTCTGGCAATTAAAACAGGAGGTGTTAAGATGTTAAAACACCAAACAGAAACATTTTGCAAGGAATCAAGTCTGTATTAACCACACACAGTACTTGTGGTGAACATGTAAACAAAATGATGTATCTGATAAGATATGCATTGTCTATTAAACTGATTGGTCTACACCAGAGAGAGCTTAACACGTCACCCAATCAGTTTCAAAGACAATGCGATTTGTATTATCAGAGCATGTTTTTTTTTTGCATGTTCACCACAAGTACTGTGTGTGGTTAATGCAAAATGTTTCTGTTTGGTGTTTTAACTTCTTAACACCTGCTGTTTTATTGGTAGAGAGGGTCAAGCCAATTCTTATATTTTGACACTCGCAACAAAGGTCCCGTATTGTCGTTTCGTTCACTCAATCGCGTTACATCCAATTCGCATCCGCGTTACAAACAAGTGCGTTCCCTAATACACTCGTCGTGTAAAATCCAATGAAAACCACTCGTTATCGGAGTATAGACTTGACCTCCGTGTACCGTGAGTGGTCGTCAGCCCTACGTAGCCACAGAGCCATGCGCCAGCCTCCTCCTCCTCCTCTAGCACGTGCAGGACAACGACAATCAACTACCGCCCGGCCACTCCCTCGCAGACTTCACAGCCCCGGACGATGATGCGCCGCCATCTCCTAGCTCCCCCGTATTCACGCAGCGGGATCGTCACGGAGTAGTGCTTCGCCCCGTCGATGCTCGGCGGGAGGGGCACACACGCACACACACACCTTGCCCTGGTCACACCGGGAGCGGTTCAACTGAACCCACGGGGCGCCTCGCGAGACTGTCGCCTCGGTGCGAGTTAAAAACGAAGTGAGCGAGCGCGGAATCGACGGCTCGCCCCATCGTCTGCGTCCGCTCGGCTGCCCCCCCCGCCCCCCCCTGCCCCCCCCCCCACGTGCGCCCAGGCGAGGTGCTCGCGGACACCGTGCAGGGCACGACGGAGGATGTGGCGCTGGCGGTGGGAGCGGCGCGCCGAGCGTTCTCGTCCTGGAGCGCCCTGGCCCCCCACGTCCGTGCCCGCCACCTCTACAGGTGTGTGGGGGAGTGGGGGGGGCGTGCAGGTTGCAGGCGCACGACCAGCATGTTGAGCTACGATCGACGGCCACGCGCGCATGTGTGGGGAGCGGTTGTGTAGTGGACCCGGTGAGCCGAATTCGACTCCCGCTCACGGCCAACACCGGTGATGATTATCTGTACCGGCTCTTGCGCCTCCCCTAGGTCGACTCAGCCTCAAATGAGTACCTGGTGCAGCGGGTAGACATCGCCACTGGGGAGACAAAGGCGGCCGGGCGTGGTGTTGGCCACCCACCGCCTCGCGTACCGTTTTGGCCTTCATAGTTGCTCGCTAACGGCACTTCCTCCAACAGTCTGTTAAGGCTACACGGGGGGGGGGGGGGGGGGGGGTCTTTGTGCACTATGTGCGTGCTCGCACCGGTTGGATTGTCCCGATTGTCCTGCAAGTTAAAAGTGGGCACATGAAGCTTTTTATTATAGATATATATTTTTCATAACATCTTATCGTCATTAAAGAACCCAGAATACAAAGTGGGTTAAAAAAAGAGGGGGAAAAAAACCCAGCAGATAACGCGTTAACAAGCTCGACCTAGCACGTGAAAGCTTCTGAACGGGTGAATTGCGTCTGTCGTGGCTTTTGTAAAAGCCGACGGTGGCGCAGATTCTTAGTGGGTGGCCGATGTAGATGATGTAGAGCAACAACTACGATTTCACATTCAGGCGGTCAAGCCAGATGACCGCGTCAGGAGCAGCGGAGTAGTCTATCATCATCGCCGTCATGTCTCCTTCGTATTTATGGATCGGCATTACGTCCTTATACATTGTACGGTATGTTCTGGATGACCACAGTCGCACACTGCTACTGGAAAGTTTTTCATCTTCCATTTGTGCGTCAGGTATCCGCATCTACTGCCATGGTTTGTGTCAGTGGATGCGGTTTAGGGTGGACCATGAGCCTCGTGGTGGGAGATCAAACTCGGAGATTGTCTGCGTTGGGTCTTTCACAAGGTGTTTGTTTTTGTGAGCTAGTGGGTGCCGCTAAATAAAACCATAAGCCAATCCGGTGAGCGAGCATGTTCATAACAATTTCCACCGACGGTAGAAAGTGTTGAACCCTGGTCGTAATCACCAGCGAAACGTCACAGTACTCGAATTGTAAATGTTGTGGGTTTACTCTGCAACACGCCGGTCTGCTGAAGTTGCAACTAATTGGCACGTTTTGTTCACGTGACAAACCTTACTAATTGGCTGCGGTGGGTTTAACGGCACATTTTCTATTTACGCGATCTAACCTCTGTTTAGGATCATATCGTTCGCGAAAGCCTACTGCTGCGTGTCAACACGTTGACTTGTGCACGCCCTTCCTCCTCCCTCCCTCACCCTCCCGCCCTCCGCTGCTCCGTGTTGCCCGTGGCAGCGTGGCGCGTCACGTGCAGAAGCACCAGCGGTTGCTGAGCGTCCTCGAGAGCCTGGACAACGGCAAGCCGATCCGCGAGTCGCGCGACTGCGACGTGCCGCTGGTCGTGCGCCACCTGTACCACCACGCGGGCTGGGCGCAGCTCGCCAGCCAGGAGATGGGCGCCTGGAAGCCGCTGGGTGAGATGGCGAGCGCCCGCGGGGGCGGCGACGGGGGCGTTGTTACCGGGCACGGCGCGCGTTGCCCTTCGCCCGGCTAGAGCCCTCTCCCGTTCCGAGGCGTCTGCGAGTTGAGAATCAGAATGATTGCCGTCGGCTCCGCGGTGCAGCCTGCGAGTCGATTTTTAGGGGGGATGCTGATCGTTGTGCGACCGATGGGGATGTAACTGTGTGCGGGCGGCATCCTCGCCATTGGTTGCTTGCGCTCGCGTGGAAATCTACGATCAGCGATTCCAACTTGATGCCTCTATATTTACTTTTATTTTCCCGACCGAATTATGTTTTTTGATGTCCGTACTGGGCCCAGGGCCCTCCATTCCTTCAGCGACCCGCGCTGACCAGCAGCGTGGGTTAGGTACAGAATCAGAATCTTCATTTATCCTCGAGGAATCCGATGAGCTATAAATCTTTTTTTCACAGATGTCCAGTCAGGGCACGGGGTCAGAACATTACAACAACAATACAAAAACACGATCGGAGTGCAAAGTATAGGAAAGGTCAACGAATCACTTAAAAAAAATATACAAATAAAACTGAAATATTTTTTTATCTTACCAGGTTAAACCCACTGAGGTATTAACATTTTTTCAGAAGCAATCTGACCACAAATGATAGCTCAACAAAGTGGCTTATCGTGTGTAAATGTATAGCAGTTGCTGGGTGGGTATCCCGTTGACCGCTGAATCTCGGAACGCGCAAGCAGTTCAGCATTCATTTGTTTAGAGAGGCGTAGCGCCGTTGTTTTTAAAGACGTCGTACTCGCCGCAGAGAACTGTAGCGACGCGACTGCACTCGATGATAGCTGGCCCCAACCTGTGCCGCGCCATCTGAATGGGAAAGAGCTAATAAGCGAAAGCGAAAGCTCTGGAACGATTCGTAGCCCCGTCTTCCTCTTCGCCAGGGCGTCTTGGAGTGATCTTGCACGCGATGAGCGGCTTACGTCGCATCTCACCTCGGCACATTTTAACTTTGGGCACCACCCCCCCCCCACCCCGAGCGACAGCTGTCCCTGCATGGCACAATTCAATATTCATTGATGAAACTGTTGAGACTTTTTCCTTGCCCAGTCGCTCCTTGCCCGGGGGCTTTCGCCCCGGGTTTTGATTCACTGGTCAGGTGTCGCCGAGTCTCCCAACGCCGTCCCCTCGGCGTCTTCCTGGGTACAAACGAGCGTTAAAGGAAAACTAAAGTGAAACGCAATCCCGCTCGTGTCCCGTGCGTGCGCGCGTGCAGGGGTGGTGTCGGCGATCGTGCCCTGGAACTTCCCTCTGATGCTGATGGCGTGGAAAGTGTGCCCTGCCCTTGCTATGGGTGAGCGTCGGCCGGTCTTCGATGGAATGAAACGCCTCCCACCCACGCCCGCGATAATAAACCCTGTTATGCTGTGACTGTGAACCTTTTATTTGACCAGTTGAGGCCCACTGAGCTATGTAGCTCTCTTTCAGAAGTGACCCGGGCCCCAAAACAATAGCTTGACGAAGTGGCTTATCAAGTGCAAATTTCTTGCGGCCAATAAAACGCGTGACGTTGATTTTAAATGTGGAGGGAAAAACCGGAGGACCCGGTGAAAAATCCACGCGACCACGGGGAGAGAGACATGCAAACTCCCAAATATGTTTTACTCCTACTATGTAAGGTCCACTCAGCTGTGTAGCACTCTTTCAGAAGCGACCTGGCCACAAATGACAGCTCAACGAAGTGGCTTATTATAATAATAATAATAAAAACTTACAAAGCGCTTTTAAACAAACTTTCTCACGTGGAAATGCATAGCAGCCAAAATACTCTTAAACACGTGTTCATATTCAGCAGGCGTCAGGGTCGGGATCGAACAACTCGACCTTCCGTACACCAGGCGAGGTTACCTGCGGAGGGGCACGAGTAATGGGACATGGCGCCCCCACGCGCCCGTGCCCCCATTTGTCTCTCTCTCTCGTCTCTCTCTCTCTCGTCTCTCCGCGTAGGCAACACGGTGGTGCTAAAGCCGGCCACGTACACGCGGCTCACCGCGCTGCTTTTCGCCGAGGTGTGCGCCGAGGCCGGGCTGCCCCCCGGCGTCTTCAACGTCGTCACCGGCAACGGCGCCTTCGGCGGCCTCCTCGCGGCGCACCCCGACGTGGACAAGGTGGCCTTCACCGGCTCCACCGAGGTGCGTGGACGTGCACTGGTCCGGCGGGGGAGGGGGAGACAAACGCTGCGCCCTGCCGCTGACATCTGCTGCAGGGGGTCGGAGTCGGGGGTCGCGCCGGGCCTGGGGCTGGTGCGGTGATCCGGCACGCACTCACGCACTAAACCCGCCAACGGTGAGAGTTCGACCACGGGACGTGGTTAAAAGTCAGAGCTGGTCCCGTCTGCAGCTTGCGCTCGGCTCGGTTGCCAGTCGCAGTTGCCATCGGGTGGGAGGTGTTCATTCGGACTGACCGGCGTGGTGAAGTATGGTCAAACAGCCCTAATGGCTGACACGGCAACGCCTTCATCCAGCAGTGAGTAGACAAAAGGGCTCTAAGTTACGTAATCCAAGCTCCTGATAGCAGGCATTGGGTGCGTACTGAATCACCCGTCTGTCTACGGCAGCGATTCGATGAATTGTCACGGTTCTGGTTTACGATTCGGTTTAAGATTGGGTCCCGTTCATTCTGTCCCGCTCGCTCGCCGTCCCGTTTCCCGTCGGCTCGGCCAAACGCCGCAGGACGTCTCGCGAGTTTTTTGCCTGAATTGTGCACGGCGCGGTCGACCGCTTTGATGCGTGCGACTCTTTGCCGTGGCGGCCTAAGGGTTATTGCCGCGCTCGCTTCAAAGTGACGCTCGGCGCCCAGGTGTCCCGTGGCGCCAATCGTAGGGAGGGTTTTTCCGCTGTGCGCCACCCCCCCCCCCCGCCCCGCCCGCAGGTGGGACAGATGCTCCGGCGAGCCACGGCAGGGACGGGAAAGAAGCTGTCGCTGGAGCTCGGCGGGAAGTCGCCGTTCGTGGTGTTCGAGTCGGCCGACCTGGACAGCGCCGTCGAGGGGATCGTCGATGCCATCTGGTTCAACCAAGGGCAGGTACCGGTGGTGCCGATTCGGACGTCGCACGCGTACTGGGATTCCCCGGGGCTGTTAATCCGTGCGTACATCATGTGTGCTTCCTTCCGTATGTACGTACGTAAATGCTTACGTTGATGTGCACATTCACACACACGCGCGCACACACACATATACACAGGGTGCTTCACGTGTGTACCTACGTTAAACTCCTTTCGCGACGTACGTAGCCAACCGCGCCAATCGGAGGGGGCCGTTCACGGCGTCGTCCGGACGACCGAGGAATAGTGAAGTGGGGCTCTGGGGCAGGACAACGTTCGTCAAGATCAGCTCGGCGAAGTCGCTTACGCTCTTTTAAGTCTAGGTTGAAAACTAAAAAAAAAAATAAAAAAATTTCGGCTCCTGCTTTTTGTGTTTAGTTTGTTGCACTTCCCCCCGCGCCTGTGCGTGCGCCCACGTTGTGGCCTCGTGTGTCCACGTTGTGGCCTCGTGTGTCCACGTTGTGGCCTCGTGTGTCCACGTTGTGGCCTCGTGTGTCCACGTTGTGGCCTCGTGTGTCCACGTTGTGGCCTCGTGTGTCCACGTTGTGGCCTCGTGTGTCCACGTTGTGGCCTCGTGTGTCCACGTTGTGGCCTCGTGTGTCCACGTTGTGGCCTCGCGTGTCCACGTTGTGGCCTCGCGTGTCCACGTTGTGGCCTCGCGTGTCCACGTTGTGGCCTCGTGTGTCCACGTTGTGGCCTCGTGTGTCCACGTTGTGGCCTCGTGTGTCCACGTTGTGGCCTCGCCTGTGTCCACGTTGTGGCCTCGCGTGTCCACGTTGTGGCCTCGCGTGTCCACGTTGTGGCCTCGCGTGTCCCCGTGTGCCTCGTGTGTCCACGTTGTGGCCTCGTGTGTCCACGTTGTGGCCTCGTGTGTCCACGTTGTGGCCTCGTGTGTCCACGTTGTGGCCTCGTGTGTCCACGTTGTGGCCTCGCCTGTCCCAGGTGTGCTGCGCAGGCTCCCGCCTGCTCGTGCAGGAGTCGGTGTGGCAGCCGCTGCTGGCGCGGCTGCGCGAGCGCATGTCGCGCCTGCGCGTGGGCGACAGCCTCGACAAGACGATGGATGTGGGCGCCCTGGTGGACGAGTCGCAGCGGACGACGATCCGGGGCTTCGTGGAGGAGGCTGAGGGCCGAGGGAGCCGAGGTGAGGGAGTCGCGCGGCGAGCGTCGCGGGTTAGGGGGTCGCGCGATGCCGCCACACGCCAACCCCGTTGTGGCTTCGCCCGATTAGCACGGCCGCTTACGCACGGTGCGAAAGAAGTTTGTGCGTGAGTACGTGCGTGCGTGCGTGTGGTGCGTGCTAGGGTTGTGGGGAGCGTTGGCGCCGCGGTTAGCTTGCCGCGATACGAACCCGGCGAACCCGAGTTCGGTTCCCGCTCACGACCAGCACCAGTGGCGATTTATCGTAACCGGTTCTGTGCCTCCCCTCGGTCGACTCGGCCTTAAATGAGTACCTGGTGCGGTGCGTAAACATCGCCAATGGGGAGACAAAGGCGGCCCCGGGCGTGGTGCCGGCCACCCACCCACCCCCTTCGTGTGCTGTGCCGGCCTTCATAGGTGCTCGCTAACAGCACCTGCCCCAACAGTCTGTTAAGGTTACACGGAGGGGGAGATCTTTGTTGTTTGTGTGCAGGGGTGGGGGAGGTGTGCGTGGCGAGGGGAGCGATAGCGTTGCGGTTAGCGTGTACTGCCCTTCGAACCCGGCGACCATGGAAAAGTAATTAGGGCTTTCTGGAATCGTTATTCTGACCTCCTGGATCTTGCCCTGATGATGTCTCCTGCAAGACGCCCGATCCAACTGCCGCATTTGGTTGTGAACATGCAAACTCCAAATACGCAGCAGCCGTCGGGGTCGGCATGGAATCCACGACCTTCTTGCACACCGGGCGAGGTAGTTAACATCTCATGGCCACCAGGCTCAAACACTTGCTTAGTTTCCACACCCCGATTGGATTGGGTACTTTCAGTGTGTGTCGTAGGCGTTTGGTGTGTGACGGGCGAGGCGCGTGAGGGGGAGGGGAGGGGAGGGGGGCCGTTAAATTGATTTAACCCCGAGCGTTAATCGCGTGCTGAACGTGCGTTTTGCCCGTGCAGGTGTACCAGGTGTGCGCGAGCCTGCCGCCCAAGGGGCTGTTCTACCCACCCACCCTGATCACCAACGTCAACACGGCATCCCGGGTCGTCAGAGAGGAGGTGTGACCGCCCTGTCGTGGCCCATGGCTAGAAACCACCTTGCACTTTGTTGGACTTTGTTATTCTGGACGGTTTAAAAAAAAAAAAATCTATTTATGTTTTCAAAGCGTTGATGCCGTCGGCTGTATTCGTCTATAATAGAGGTTTTTTTTTTGGGTTAGATCGCGTAAATATATAAATGTGTCGTTGTTAAACCCGCCACCAACCGACACGGCCAACTAGTAAGATTTTTCACGTGAACAGAACGTGCCAATTCGTCACTAGTACAGCACTAGTGTATAGTGTAGTGTGTAGTTTATAGTGGTGTAGCGTGTAGTCTAGTGTAGTGTATAGTAATGTAGTGTGTAGTGTAGTGTATAGTAGTGTAGAGTGTAGTATAGTGTATAGTAGTGTAGTAAACTAGTACAGCACTAGTGTATAGTGTAGTGTGTAGTGTATAGTAGTGTAGTCTAGTGTAGTGTATAGTAATGTAGTGTGTAGTGTAGTGTATAGTAGTGTAGTGTATAGTATAGTGTATAGTAGTGTAGTAAACTAGTACAGCACACCGGTGTGTTGGAGAGCCAAGCCACAACATTTACAATCCGAGTACGACGTTTCGCCAGTAATTACAACCAGCTTCATCAGGCGGACAGCCAGATTTGTGGAGAAATCCTCCTGTTTCGTTCCTTAAATAGAGGGGGAGATGTGATGGCGTCACTTCTGAGCCCTTCCGTCCGCCCGTTGCATAACGGGAGGCACGCATCTCGATTGAAAACTAATTTATTTAGAACTGCTCGTTGTTATGTGTAGTTTGTTGTCCTTCCCCCCGCACCTCCAATTAGCACGGTTGGCTACGTACGGTGCGAAAGAAGTTCAAAATACATGCATACACCAAGTGGGAATGTAGCAGCCAAGTACTCTGAACGCACGTTGATTCAAAAAATTGAGGGAAAAGAACGCGAGAGACACGCAAACTCCAAATATACAATAGGCGTCGTCAGGCTCGGGATTGAACCCCACGACCTCCTGCATACCCGGCGAGGCAGTTAACATCTCGTGGTGCGGAAGAAGTGGAACATGCATACATACAACATATATACAACATACATACATAACCCCGGTTATCGACAGTTCAATGTGAACAGAAGTTTGGCGTATGGTTGTGTATGTGATTAGGGATTCGTTCCAATCTGGTTACGTTAAAAGGGTCCCTACGGAATCGCTGAGACATCTGGCGTGTAGAGCCCTTGCGTACCACAGAACACACTCGCGCTTTACAACAGTCATGAAATGTGTTCGGAGTAATTTCCGTAGCTTGTGTGCATCACCTGCAACAATTTGGTTGAATGCCATGGCATTCGCATACAAAAATTAATTCTGAAATATTTACCGCGTAATTACCGCTGTTTAAATTATCTTAATGAATTGCCCCACTAACCTTGAAGAATCGAAGCATTTCTATTCACCACGTGCTGCCTGTCAGAACTGCAGATCGCCCACGTCCGTGTGCATTGCAAGTGCAATGCAATTAGGATTTACGTAGCGTCTCCTATCTAATACAGCTGCATCTGAAGATGCCGTCACATCCACGTGCACTGTACGTTATTAATCAAGTTTCCTGCTGCTGCCGCTGTTCCTGCTGCTGCTGTTGCTGCTGCTACCACTGTTGCTGATGCTGGTGCCGCCGCCGCTGCTGTTGCTGCTGCTGCTACCACTGTTGCTGATGCTGGTGCCGTTGCTGCTGTTGCTGATGCTACCACTGTTGCTGATGCTGGTGCCGTTGCTGCTGTTGCTGATGCTACCACTGTTGCTGATGCTGGTGCTGCTGTTGCTGCTGCTGCCACTGTTGCTGCCGCTACTGCTGCCGCTGTTCCTACTGCTGCTGCCGCTGCCACTGCTGCTGCTGCTGCGGCTGCCGCTGCGGCTGTTATTGCCGCTATTGCTGCAGGTCTTTGGGCCAGTGCTGGTGGCGCTTCCCTTCCGCACGGCGAAGGAAGCCGTCGAACTGGCCAACAACACGCCGTACGGCTTGGCGGCGAGCGTGTGGACAGAGAAGCTCTCCCTGGCTCTGGAGGTCGCCTTGTCGTGAGTCCGCTTCGATGAACACGGCAGATTTTTGTTTATTTGTGCGTGTGCGGGTGTTTGCTTAGCGCTTTTTGTCAGTTCCCCTGTTGGACAAAGGCCTCTCCCCCATGCCGTGTCCGTCACCGGGGTTATTTTTGTCATATTTTACCGTATTTCCATCGCGCTGGTGAGTGCGGGTTGGTGAAACGGTGTGGCGGAGGGCGGGTGGGGGACAAGGGGGGGTGGGAGATTGGGAACTTGTTCGTACGTCGCTCATCGTCGATGTTAGCCTTGGTCAGGGATCGAACACGGGTCACGGGGTTCAGCGTGCGGTGTGCAAGCCAACGCACCTGGCGCCAGTTGTCCCAGTTACGCAGTTGGGAGTCGACTCGTGTGTGGACGAGGCTCGAGAACTGACCCCAGAATAATGTCGTACGGCAACTTCTGTGGTCGCTTCAATTGACCTTTTTTTCACCCAATGGTGCGTTGCACCACTTCATACTCCGCAAGCAGTGTTCAGCACGTGTGTGTGTGTGTGCGTGTGTGCGTCACGTGCGTGTGCGTGTGTGTGTGTGTGTGCGTGTGTGCGTCACGTGCGTCACGTGCGTGTGCGTGGACAGCATCAAAGCCGGCACGGTGTGGGTGAACGGACACAACATGTTTGACGCTGCCTCCGGCTTCGGGGGATATCGGCACAGCGGCTTCGGGCGCGACGGCGGCAAGGAGGTGAGAGAGCGAGACGCGCAGGGAGGCTTCGCCCTGCCCCGCACAGGGAGGCCTTGCCCTGCCCTGTCCAGGGAGGCTTCGCCCTGCCCCGCACAGGGAGGCCTTGCCCTGCCCTGTCCAGGAAGACTTCGCCCTGCCCCGCACAGGGAGGCTTAACAGATTATAAACTTAATTAGTTCAAACAAACCAATGGCTACATTAAACTTTATTAACGTGTTTACTATTTACTTTTAAAAGAGTGACGATCGCTTCCTTGACCCGCACCCTACCTGGCCCTAGAGGGCATTGGGAGGGATTGAGAAAGGGAGGGCCTAAGCCCACAGAGACTGATGGCACATTGAGCGTGGGGACGGAGGGCCTGGTGTGGTTTCTGGGCCATTCCTGGGCCGGCAATTCATGGTTCCCAGTGATTGAGGAAATGAAGCAAGAGGGACCTTGTAATCTTAGCTGTCGTTGAGGCTTTCCCGGGTAAATAAATGGTTATTTAACAATATGTAATGTATGTAATGTGCGGCCCTTTCGTCAATCCACCGCTGGATGAAAGGCTCCCCACGTATCTCGGTCATTGGGGTGGTTTGACCATACTTCACCACACTGCTCAATGTGGTTTGGTGAAGGTGGGAGGGGGTGGCGGCGAATCTGGTTCACACATCGCTGATGTTAGCCGTGGCTCGGATTCAAACTCGGCTCCCTGGATTGGCAGCACTCTGCGCTGACCACCGCATCACTGATTCCACCCCGAATAATGAAACAGAACTACCAGCCGGGTGGCTCGGCAGCAGAGCGAACGGCACCCAGTCGGAAGAGTTCCGGGTTCAGATCCTGGTTGGGGATTGACTCAGCCCAACATCTGCGCGAGGGCCAATAAAATCAGTACCACTTTGCAGGGTGGGGAGGGGGGGGGTAGGGTGAATTCAACAGCAGTTGCCCTTTGGTCCGACTCACCCCTGCCATAGCAAAGTAGAATTTCCCCCCCCGCTGGAAATCGAAGGCTGTAAACAGGAGACGTGCCCCCGCGCCTCGCGACGCTCGCTCGGGAAAGAGAATGGAAAGAAAAAACTGGAAAGGACGCAAATCCTGAGCTGGTTCCCGTCTCCCGTCACGCTGTCGTGGCGGCAGGGCCTGTTCGAGTACGTGCGGCCCCGCTGGGAGGAGCGTGCACGCCCCGACCCCGGCAACGTGGACCTCGCGGCGTTCGGAGCCGCCTACGGGGCCGACGTGGCGCCCATCCCCGGCACGGCCGCCGCCGTCGCACGCCCCACCGTGACGGCACACGAGCAGCTCCTGCCGAGGCACGTCGCGCCGCGCCGTGGCGGCGGTGCCGCGCGATGCGCCGTGCGCGCAAGACGCGCTGTGCAGGCAGTCCCCGACTTACGAACGCCGGACTTAAGAACACCCGACTTACGAACACCCTACTTACAAACGCCGGAATTAAGAACACCCTACTTACGAACACCCGACTTACGAACGCCCTACTTACGAACACCCTACTTACGAACACCCTACTTAAGAACACCCTACTTACGAACGCCCTACTTACGAACACCCTACTTACGAACGCCCTACTTACGAACACCCTACTTACGAACGCCCGGCTTACAAACACCCTACTTACGAACACCCTACTTACGAACGCCCTACTTACGAACACCCTACTTACGAACGCCCGGCTTACGAACGCCCAAATTACGAACGCCCTACTTACGAACACCCGACTTACAAACACCAGACTTACAAACACCCTACTTACGAACACCAGACTTACGAACACCCTACTTACGAACGCCCGGCTTACAAACACCCTACTTACGAACACCCTACTTACGAACGCCCTACTTACGAACGCCCGGCTTACGAACGCCCAAATTACGAACGCCCTACTTACGAACACCCTACTTACGAACACCCGACTTACAAACACCAGACTTACAAACACCCTACTTACGAACACCCGACTTACGAACGCCCAAATTACGAACGCCCTACTTACGAACGCCCTACTTACGAACACCAGACTTACGAACACCAGACTTACGAACGCCCTACTTACGAACGCCCTACTTACGAACACCAGACTTACGAACACCAGACTTACGAACGCCCTTCTTACGAACGCCCGGCTTACGAACACCCGACTTAGGAACAATCCGCACCTATGAACGAGTTTCCAATATATTTTATTTAATCCTCCGACTTGCAAATGTGTACAGTATTTTTTTTACAGTGTAACATGCAAATGTAGATATTTATTCTTATGAGTTTAGCAATGCTTCCCTTTTTTTATTTAGCTGCAACACATTTTTATAAACCTTACCACATGTGCATTTAAAGACAGTGCATTACTGTGTTCCGATGTACGAACCGTTTGACTTACGAACGGCTCTTAGAAATGGAACCCGTTCATAAGTCGGGGTGGGCGCCACAGTGGTGGGATGTTAACTGCCTTGCCTAGTAAACAGGAGGTCGTGGTTTCCATCCTGACCCCGATGCCTGAATATTTGGAGTTTGCATTTTCTCCCCGTGGTCGTGCGGCTTTTTCTCTGGGTCTTCCGGCTTTTCCCTCCACATTTGGCTGCTATACATTTCCGCACGATAAGCCAACTTGGCTTAAGCTATCAATTTGTGGCCACGTCGCTTCTGGAAAGAGAGCTGACGTAGCTCAGTGGGCCTTACCTGGTAAAATAAAAAAATAAAAAAAGAGTTTAGTAGTAGACTCACCCCGGCCGTACTTTTGTCCGTCGTGTGCCGTGTGGTTCGCTGCGCTTCGTGTTGTCCCGCTGTATCGGCGCGTGGGTCGCGGCTGTGACACGCTGCGTGTGTACGCACGTGTGTGCGCGTGCGTGTGTACGTACGTGCGTGCGTGCGTGTGCGTGCGTGTGCGTGCGTACACGCGTCCGCCACGCCGCGCAGCGTGGACCGCACGTACAAGCTGTACTACGGCGGGGCGCAGAAGCGTCCAGACGGGATGTACTCGAGGCCCGTGCTGGCGCCCGACGGCAGCGTGAGCGCTTACGTCGCCGACGGCAACCGCAAGGACGTGCGCAACGCGGTCGAGGCGGCACACAAGGCCGCGCCCGGGTACGCAGCCGCCACCACCACCACCCCCCCTCCATCGTCGTGCCGCTGTCAAACCCCCAGCGGTTTCAGTTGTGTGTGGCGGCCCTCGCACTGATGATGTGTTATCGGCGAAAGTGAAAATTAGCGAAGAACGCTGGTATTAGGGTGTATTGTATTGATGTCTTCACGCCGGTGCCTCCGCATTGCTTCGAGCTGATCGGGATCGGCTGCAGTCCTTCCGCGCGCGACGCCAAGGACGCCTTCTTGGCATCCGGCGGTTCGACTTTTTGTCAGAAATGTCACCCCTCGCGATGGAGAGCTTAGTTCGAAAGAGACGCCGGCTGTCACTCTTGTGGACATGTCGCCCCGTCCCAGTGCGCCAACTCCAGCGACTTGCGCGCTTCAGGTTCGCGGTCGACGTTGGAAGCGAAGGCCGCGACCCTCAAAGGAATGGCGCCAACAACCGTGTCCACCCCCACCCCTCTCGCCGCGATGCGTGGCTCAACCAAATCACTCGAGACGCCGGCGTACGGCAGCAAGGGCAGCTTATACGCGCGCGACGGGCGGACTAAATGAACGGTTGCCTCCCCCCCCCCCCACCCCCCGTATTCACATGGCGCAGGTGGGGCAAGCGCGCGGCCCACAACCGTGCCCAGGTGGTGTACTACATGGCGGAGAACCTGGAGCTGCGGCGCGACGAGGTGGCGCGCCGGCTGGCGGCGCTGACGGGCGTGACCCCGGCGGCCGCGCTGGACGAGGTGGAGGAGAGCGTGACACGGCTCTTCCACTGGGCGGCCTACTGCGACAAGTACGGCGGCACCGTGCAGGTGGGCACGCGCTGGGCGGCGGCGGCAGCGCGGGGGGCAACCAGGGCTGGCGCGCAGAGCAAACCGGAGCTTGTGAATACAGGGGGCAAACCGGGGACTGTGAATGTTTGGGGAACCGGAGCTTGTGAATACAGCGGGCAAACCAAGGACTGTCTGTGGGGAACCGGAGCTTGTGAATACAGGGGGCAAACCAGGGACTGTGAATGTGTGGGGAACCGGAGCTTGTGAATACAGGGGGCAAACCAGGGATTGTGAATGTGTGGGGAACCGGAGCTTGTGAGTACAGGGGGCAAACCAGGGACTGTCTGTGGGGAACCGGAGCTTGTGAATACAGGGGGCAAACCAGGGACTGTGAATGTTTGGGGAACCGGAGCTTGTGAATACAGGGGGCAAACCAGGGACTGTGTGTGGGGAACCGGAGCTTGTGAATACAGGGGGCAAACCAGGGACTGTGAATGTGTGGGGAACCGGAGCTTGTGAATACAGGGGGCAAACCAGGGACTGTGAATGTGTGGGGAACCGGAGCTTGTGAGTACAGGGGGCAAACCAGGGACTGTCTGTGGGGAACCGGAGCTTGTGAATACAGGGGGCAACCAGGGACTGTGAATGTTTGGGGAACCGGAGCTTGTGAATACAGGGGGCAAACAAGGGACTGTGTGTGGGAACCGGAGCTTGTGAATACAGGGGGCAAACCAGGGACTGTGAATGTGTGGGGAACCGGAGCTTGTGAATACAGGGGGCAAACCAGGGATTGTGAATGTTTGGGGAACCGGAGCTTGTGAGTACAGGGGGCAAACCAGGGACTGTCTGTGGGGAACCGGAGCTTGTGAATACAGGGGGCAAACCAGGGACTGTGAATGTTTGGGGAACCGGAGCTTGTGAATACAGGGGGCAAACCAGGGACTGTGTGTGGGGAACCGGAGCTTGTGAATACAGGGGGCAAACCAGGGACTGTGAATGTTTGGGGAACCGGAGCTTGTGAGTACAGGGGGGAAACCAGGGACTGTGAATGTGTGGGGAACCAGAGCTTGTGAATACAGGGGCAAACCAGGGACTGTGAATGTGTGGGGAACCGGAGCTTGTGAATACAGGGGGCAAACCGGGGACTGTGAATGTGTGGGGAACCAGAGCTTGTGAATACAGGGGCAAACCAGGGACTGTGAATGTGTGGGGAACCGGAGCTTGTGAATACAGGGGGCAAACCAGGGACTGTGAATGTTTGGGGAACCGGAGCTTGTGAATACATGGGGCAAACCAGGGACTGTGAATGTGTGGGGAACCGGAGCTTGTGAATACAGGGGGCAAACCAGGGACTGTGAATGTGTGGGGAACCGGAGCTTGTGAATACAGGGGGCAAACCAGGGACTGTGAATGTGTGGGGAACCGGAGCTTGTGAGTACAGGGGGCAAACCAGGGACTGTGTGTGGGGAACCGGAGCTTGTGAATACAGGGGGCAAACCAGGGACTGTGAATGTGTGGGGAACCGGAGCTTGTGAGTACAGGGGGCAAACCCAGGGACTGTGTGTGGGGAACCGGAGCTTGTGAATACAGGGGGCAAACCAGGGGACTGTGAATGTGTGGGGAACCGGAGCTTGTGAATACAGGGGGCAAACCGGGGACTGTGAATGTGTGGGGAACCGGAGCTTGTGAGTACAGGGGGCAAACCAGGGACTGTCTGTGGGGAACCGGAGCTTGTGAATACAGGGGGCAAACCAGGGACTGTGAATGTTTGGGGAACCGGAGCTTGTGAATACAGGGGGCAAACCAGGGACTGTGTGTGGGGAACCGGAGCTTGTGAATACAGGGGGCAAACCAGGGACTGTGAATGTGTGGGGAACCGGAGCTTGTGAATACAGGGGGCAAACCAGGGATTGTGAATGTTTGGGGAACCGGAGCTTGTGAGTACAGGGGGCAAACCAGGACTGTCTGTGGGGAACCGGAGCTTGTGAATACAGGGGGCAAACCAGGGACTGTGAATGTTTGGGGAACCGGAGCTTGTGAATACAGGGGGCAAACCAGGGACTGTGTGTGGGGAACCGGAGCTTGTGAATACAGGGGGCAAACCAGGGACTGTGAATGTTTGGGGAACCGGAGCTTGTGAGTACAGGGGGCAAACCAGGGACTGTGAATGTGTGGGGAACCAGAGCTTGTGAATACAGGGGGCAAACCAGGGACTGTGAATGTGTGGGGAACCGGAGCTTGTGAATACAGGGGGCAAACCGGGGACTGTGAATGTGTGGGGAACCAGAGCTTGTGAATACAGGGGGCAAACCAGGGACTGTGAATGTGTGGGGAACCGGAGCTTGTGAATACAGGGGGCAAACCAGGGACTGTGAATGTTTGGGGAACCGGAGCTTGTGAATACATGGGGCAAACCAGGGACTGTGAATGTGTGGGGAACCGGAGCTTGTGAATACAGGGGGCAAACCAGGGACTGTGAATGTGTGGGGAACCGGAGCTTGTGAATACAGGGGGCAAACCAGGGACTGTGAATGTGTGGGGAACCGGAGCTTGTGAATACAGGGGGCAAACCAGGGACTGTGTGTGGGGAACCGGAGCTTGTGAATACAGGGGGCAAACTGGGGACTGTGAATGTGTGGGGAACCGGAGCTTGTGAATACAGGGGGCAAACCAGGGACTGTGAATGTGTGGGGAACCGGAGCTTGTGAATACAGGGGGCAAACCAGGGACTGTGAATGTGTGGGGAACCGGAGCTTGTGAATACAGGGGGCAAACCAGGAACTGTGAATGTGTGGGGAACCGGAGCTTGTGAATACAGGGGGCAAACCAGGGACTGTGAATGTTTGGGGAACCGGAGCTTGTGAATACATGGGGCAAACCAGGGACTGTGAATGTGTGGGGAACCGGAGCTTGTGAATACAGGGGGCAAACCAGGGACTGTGAATGTGTGGGGAACCGGAGCTTGTGAATACAGGGGGCAAACCAGGGACTGTGTGTGGGGAACCGGAGCTTGTGAATACAGGGAGCAAACCAGGGACTGTGAATGTGTGGGGAACCGGAGCTTGTGAATACAGGGGGCAAACCGGGGACTGTGAATGTGTGGGGAACCGGAGCTTGTGAATACAGGGGGCAAACCAGGGACTGTGAATGTGTGGGGAACCGGAGCTTGTGAATACAGGGGGCAAACCAGGGACTGTGAATGTGTGGGGAACCGGAGCTTGTGAATACAGGGGGCAAACCAGGGACTGTGAATGTTTGGGGAACCGGAGCTTGTGAATACATGGGGCAAACCAGGGACTGTGAATGTGTGGGGAACCGGAGCTTGTGAATACAGGGGGCAAACCAGGGACTGTGAATGTGTGGGGAACCAGAGCTTGTGAATACATGGGGCAAACCAGGGACTGTGAATGTGTGGGGAACCGGAGCTTGTGGGTACAGGGGGCAAACCAGGGACTGTGAATGTGTGGGGAACCGGAGCTTGTGAATACAGGGGGCAAACCAGGGACTGTGAATGTGTGGGGAACCGGAGCTTGTGAATACAGGGGGCAAACCAGGGACTGTGAATGTGTGGGGAACCGGAGCTTGTGAATACAGGGGGCAAACCAGGGACTGTGAATCTGTGGGGAACCGGAGCTTGTGAATACAGGGGGCAAACCAGGGACTGTGAATGTGTGGGGAACCGGAGCTTGTGAATACAGGGGGCAAACCAGGGACTGTGAATGTGTGGGGATCCGGAGCTTGTGAATACATGGGGCAAACCAGGGACTGTGAATCTGTGGGGAACCGGAGCTTGTGAATACAGGGGGCAAACCAGGGACTGTGAATGTGTGGGGAACCGGAGCTTGTGAATACAGGGGGCAAACCAGGGACTGTGAATGTGTGGGGAACCGGAGCTTGTGAGTACAGGGGGCAAACCAGGGACTGTGAATGTTTGGGGAACCGGAGCTTGTGAATACAGGGGGCAAACCAGGGACTGTGAATGTGTGGGGAACCGGAGCTTGTGAGTACAGGGGGGCAAACCAGGGACTGTGAATGTGTGGGGAACCAGAGCTTGTGAGTACAGGGGGCAAACCAGGGACTGTGTGTGGGGAACCGGAGCTTGTGAGTACAGGTGGGGGGGGGAGGGCAAGCAGTGCTGGTTTAATACGTGATGACCCGGTGCGGCTGACCACAGGGGGCCGATGAACATGTGAGGAACCGCATCCGTTGATGCAGGTGGCAGCCAAGGGCGCTGAACTTACCGGGAGAGCCAGCGCTTGCACAAAACGCGTGGCTGCTTGTTGCAAAGGTTCGCGGTTCGAAAGCTGGCAAGTCGCGCTGGTAAATAAAAAACTATAGGCAATTTAAATTTTACCAGGTAAGGCCCACGGAGTTATTTTGCTGGCCACAGTTGATAGCTCAACGAAGTGGGCTATCGCGCGGATATTTAAAGCCGCCGAATACTCTAAATGCATGTTGATTCTAAATGTGGAGGGAAAACCCGGAGAAAAATCCACGCGAGCACGGCGAGAGAGACACGCAAACTCCAAATATACAGCAGCAGGCGTCAGGGTCTGGATCGAACCCACGACCCCCTGCATACCAGGTGAGGTAGTTAACATCTAACCACCGTGATGATGATAGAGAGAGAGACACGCAAACTCCAAAAATACAGCAGCAGGCGTCAGGGTCGGGATCGAACCCCACGACCCCCTGCATACCAGGCGAGGTAGTTAACATCTCCTAGCCACCGCGGTAGAAGTGCCTCTACGCGAGCCTTCTTGCTCGCGGCAAAGAGTTTGGCGCGCGCGCTGAAAAACCACCACCCCCTCCGTGTGCCGTTTGGCGTTGCGTGCGTGCGTGCGTGCCCGCGCAGGAGACAACGCTGTACGGGGCGACGGTGATGGTGCGCGAGCCCGTGGGCGTGGTGGCCGTCGCGTGCCCCGACGAGAGGCCGCTGCTCGCCTTCGTGAGCCTCTTCGCGGCGGCCATCGTCAGGGGCAACGCCGTCGTCATCGTGCCCAGCGAGAGACACCCGCTGCCCGCGCTCGACTTCTATCAGGTGGGCGGGGGGTGCCCGTCGGCGGCCACTGTTTTTTTTTATTTTATTTTATTTTACCCAGGTGAAGGCCCACTGAGCTGTTGAGATCTTTTTCAGAAGCGACCCGGGCTGTCACAAATGCTCGCGCGACGAAGCGGCTCGCCACGTGGATATTTATCGCAACCAAACGCTCTTAAAACGCGCGCGCTGTTGATTCTAAATATGGAGGTCAAAAAACCGGAGGACGCCGACAAAAATCCACACGGCCAAAAGGGGGAGAGAGACAGAGAGAGAGAGACACATCGCAGACTCCAAATATACAGCGGGCGTCGGGGTCGGGATCGAACCCACGACCCCCTGCACACCGGGCGAGGTAGTTAACATCTCGCCGCTGAGCCACGTGGGTCACGGAGGTTGTTTTTAGCAGCGCTGCATCACGTCGGTCACTGCGGGTTGGGTAAGCGGGCACCCAGCACCAGTCCGCAACGCTCGCCAACTGGTGTTCCCAGCGGCAGGGAATCGAAGCCAGGTTGCCGCATTCATAGCGCGGCGTGCCAGCCACTGCACCGCCTCTCCACACGCTCCGTTTGCCCGCAAGATATTTCAACGGAGAGTATTATTTTTTCCGTCACGTGCACGATTCAATTAGTCCATTGAGGGCGTGAGACTATTTTAATTGGTGAATGTTTGCATGTACGTGCTCGTGCATGGGATGCCTGTAGTCCATTGGCGGAGCCAGTGCGGGGGGGGGTGGTGGCACATGCCCCCCCCCCCCCCCCCAATGATCCGATCGAAATCCCTCATTTCGATCGGATCATTTGGGTTTATTAGTAATAAATCGGCATTTTGCGACCCCCACTGCCACTGTGTAGCATATTATTACGTGCCAGGGGACTCTATGAGATGATAGGACAATAGTCCGAGTCCATAATTGGCAATAAGTAACGGCAATGCGGTTATAAGCGACTCACAGAATTGTGCGCAGTTGCGTGTATACAGAGTCCACGACTTGCCTGAAGGCATCGACACCTCCAGCGAGCGCGGTGCCGATCACACCACGCGGTTCGAACTCGCCACCTCGCCATCGCCGCACACGCGTCAGAATAAAAACTCCTATCGTTTTTTTCATTGCTGGAGAGGTTGCCCCCCCCCCCCCCCCCTCCCTATTTGAAAATCCTGGCTCCGCCACTGCTGACGTTCTCTTCTTAGGCAGCCTTAGAGCAATTGGGAAATTCGTCCGAGAAATTAACCAGGGGCTGCGGGAATCTAACCTCGAAAAGCCTCTGCAGACTCGCTCGGTGGGTCGAGCGTGAGCATTAGGAAACAAAAACTCGCGCTGGCAGGTTAAGGAGAAACGCGCAACAGCGAAGAGACAAACAAAATCTCGCTCGTCACGTTGACACGCAACCAGACAAGGCCGCGTGTTCCAGGCTGTTCTTGACGCGAGCTTGAGGCCTCAATCGTGGGACAGAGTCAACGGACGGTCGGGGTAGAAACCACTCCCCCCACCCCCCTCCCTCGGGGATGCCCTGCCGCCAACCTTAGATTCTGAAAAGTTGATGGGGGAAGCTACTGTTGTGTGCGTGCACAGGTATTCGACACGTCCGATCTGCCCGCCGGTGTCGTGAACATCCTGACCGGCTCGCGGGACCACCTGACCAAGTACCTGGCGGAGCACCAGGACGTGCAGGCCATGTGGTACTTCGGCAGTGAGCAGGTACGACCTTGCCTTTGCCTCGGATCGGCAGGATGAGCAGGGAGGCATGAACTAAACTAATATATTTATTTTACCAGCTAAGGTCCCCGCAGCTATAGAGCTCTTTTTCAGAAGCGACCTGGCTATTAACAAATGATAGCTCAGTGAAGTGGGTCATCATGTGGAAATGTGTAGCAGCCAAATACTCTAAACGCGTGACGTTGATTCCTAATGCGGAGGGAAAACCGGGTGACCTGGAGAAAAATCCACGCTACCATGGAGAGAGAGAGAGAGACATGCTAACTCCAAATATACAGTAGGCATCGGGTTTGGGATCGAACCCACGACCTCCTGTATACCAGGCGAGGTACTTAACATCTCCTAGCCATCGTGGCGGCCCCCAATATTTCTGACCGAAAAAACTATCCAGAGGCATTTCGCGTCTCACGAAATGGGAGGGGGCCGCACTGCATTTCCGTTTTTATTCCGCGCTTTTATTTAACTTTTCCCTATATGTCTGTTTAAATCTTTGACGCGTAATGTCTTCGGATCTACGAAGCCTAGCGAGCCGAAGTCTTCGACACACAGTGTCCTCGTCCTCTCGCGTGACAATTTGAGATTTCGTTTCAAAAACCGGTCCAGGTCCGACCGATCCAGGGGCTCATCGTGTTTCTTTTTACTTCTGTTTTTTTATTCCACTATTTAAAATATTAGAATTATACAGACAATAATGAACTGTTGTTGTTGTCTGTGTTGTGATCCTAGAATGAATATGTACATACTAGCCTTTTGCCCGTCTCAGGATGGGTGTATTGCAGTAAATCTGAAACTTGCATGTGAAAAGCACAGAGCGCTACGTGATATTCACTGCATTAATTCGTTGTGCAATTTGTAAGGCCGCGGTGACACAGACCTATTTCATTTAAAGGTTATAATCCCTTGTTCATCACGGCGTCCTTTTTACTTCTATGTCTCAATAGCGTCACGTAGACCACGTGACGTGAGGGTTCTGCCTTTGTAGTGAGGGTTGTCAGTTGACGCCGAGGAAGGGGGGAGGAGGCGCCTCGCCCCCCACCCATGTGGAGTGACGTCACCCGTTAATTATTTGGAGGACGTCACCAGTTCATGATTATTGAGGGGGGGCTGGTTGACGTGGAGTGACGTCAGGCACATTACACACTGACATTATTGGGTAACTATAGTAGTAAATGCAGATTTTTTTTAAAAAAATTGGTCACAAAAAATAAGTTTGCCAATGCACACACTTTTATTTGCACTCAAAGGTAGAAAATAAATTATCTTTACCCCAGAATTAATCAAATTTGATGTGCCGAATAAAAGCGGGGTAGGCTTGCAAAAATTCCCTTCGACATATCTAAAGGAAAACCGCCCACTTTTATTCAGCACGTCAAGTTTGATTAATTCTTGGGTCCAGATAAATAATGTAACTTTTTCAGCGCAAATAAATGCGTGCGTATGCCCGCGCGTTGCAAAACTACCGTATATATTTTTTTCCCCCACTTTTGTTGTTGTTGTTGCTGCTGTGCCCCCACGCTCGCCGGATCGCAGGGCAGCAAGTTCGTGGAGATGGCCTCCGCAGGCAACCTGAAGCGCACGTGGGTGAACTACGGCGTGGAGCGCGACTGGGCGAGCGCCGAGTGCGGCCGGGGCGAGGAGTTCCTGTACCACGCCACGCAGTGCAAGAACCTGTGGCTGCCCATGGGAGACTCGTTTGCCAACTGAGCGCCGCCGCCGCCGCCGCACTGGGCCAAAACACGGCTTTTTACAGCGGGGGAGCGTTGGTAAACTGACAAACTTGATTTTTTATTTGTAAATATTTTATTTTACCAGCGCCGCGAAGCTCTTTTTCAGAAGCGACACCCGGCCATCGGCATATGATAGCTCGGCGAAGTGGCTCATCATCGTCTATGGCAGCCAAATGCTCTTAGACGCGTGATGTTGATTCTAAATGTGGGGGGAAAAACCCGGGAGAGCTGGAAAAAATTCCACGCGAAGCACAGGGAGCGGAGAGACACACAAATTCCAGATATATACAGCAGCAGGCGTCGGAGTTGGGATCGAAAACCACGACCTCCTTCATACCGGGCGAAGTAGTTAACATCTCCTAGCCACCGTGGGTTAGCAGCGCAGCACAATTTAACGATCGTGCTTTAATTCTATGCTCCTGTGTCTTTCCCCCCCCACCCCTCCGCTACCCATTTCAGGCTGAGTTGATCTACAAAGACAAAGATCCCCCGTGTAGCTTTAACAGACTTGGGGCAAGTGCTGTTAGCGAGCACCTATGAAGGCCGGCACGGCACACGAGGGGGTGGGTGGCCAACACCACACCTGGCCGCCTTTGTCTCTCCAGTGGCGATGTTTACACACCGCACTGGGTACCCATTTGAGGCTGAGTCGACCTAGAGGAGGCCCATGACCGGTTCAGATAATCGTCACTGGTTCGTAGCCCAGCACCCTGACTGCTGCACCACCGCTCCCCACCGTACCCCCACCGTACCCCACCGTACACACACGTACATACACACACACACATCTGCCTTAACAGAATCGGTGCTCTGTACGTCACGTTGTGACGCACACACACAGACACATTCACAAGATATCTGCGTTCATTTCAATCCGCAGCCTCGAGTCTCCGTTACTTGGGCTGTGTTTATCAACCGTGAGGCGCGTGCAGTGCGTTTCTACTTTGATGTTTCATTTCAGCAGGCGACGACGGCCGAGAAGTGACGCACGGCGGAAGCGTGCTGGGTGACTTGGGGACTGTCAGTTGGGAGACTTTGTTCACAGAGTTGATCATGAGTTGTGTCGTACATGTCACACACGGTGCATGTACGTTGAACTTCTTTCGTTGCGGTACGTAGCCAACGGCGCTAATTGTAGGTGCTGGCGAAGGACAACAAACTAAACACAACAAGCGGTTGTAAGCAAGCGAGTTTTCAATCTCGATGGTTTAAAAGTGTGCGTAGCTCCGAGTGGCTTCCTAATGTCGGAGGGAAGAGCGGTTCCAGACGGTCGCAAGAAGCGCATCTGAGAGCGCATGATGATGCGGTGACCGTCTCGGTTTGACGTGGTACTTTTCACGGGCAATGGTCGTGGTCCTCAGACGTTCAGAAGTGTGTGTTGCCGAGTGCATCCCAGCGAGCGATGCAGCTCTCTGTCAAGGGCCAACTCGGCCAGCGGACAAAGGGGTCGGCAGCAAGGTTTACACGTCACAAGTTACGCCCTAAAGAAATTAACGGTATCTCAAGCGTAAACATTTCTACGGTTGTATCTATGTTCACACGTGATGTTTTGTGATCTCAACAGGATCTGTTTAAGGAGAGCAGGGATGGCAGAGTGGAGATCCGTGGTAGCGCATCCAGCACTTGTCGCAGAGGGTTCACGGTTCATAATCCACTGGCTGCCCTGGTTATTTACTGTCGGTATATTAACCCTTTCCCGTTCCGATGACGTACGCGTATGTCATCAGCTCTTCTGAAATTAAAGAACGTTATCGATACCGAGGCTCCCGCAAGGCCATGCGGGAGGACGTGCGGCACAGTTTGGCGGTCGTGTCGCTGAGGTTCTCCGCGGTGAGTAACGACGTCTTTAAAAGCAACGGCGCTACTACGCCTCTCTAAATAAAATTAACGCTGAGCCTCTTCCACGTTGCGAGATCGACGATGAACAGGACACACCCACCCTGCCACTCGCAGACGTCTCGGAACCGTGAAACGGGTTACCTCCGATGATAATGGGGCACGGCAATAACTCACGGCGGACGTCACAACATCCGCCGACGTCATTTGCTGGAGCAGGCCATCGCGTGTGCGAGCGCCAGGGTCCCAAGTGTTGATCATTTGGGATCGTGCACCACAGCAGCAATCGTCGCCCCTCCCCCTCCTCCCCCACCGTTACTGCCAGACTTAACGCCCCAATTCACTCTTGCACATGAGACTCGTCCTAATGATGGGCCTCATTGAGTTCTCAATCTCGTTAAACTAAAAAAAACATGAATTTTTTCGCGAAGAGTTTCAGTTGAGAAAGGCGTGGCACTCACTGCCCAGTACCTGGTTCATAACATCTGACGCCGTTTTATAATTGTAATTTAATTGTGGGTTTTATTATGGTTTTATTATGGGTGGCACTGCCCAGTAGCTGGTTTAAAAAACCGACGTTTCCCGATTTCCAATTGTGGATTTTGTTTTGATTATGAGTAACACTGCCCAGTACCTGGTTTAAAAATCTGATACTGTTTTTATTATAATTGTAATGTGTGCTATACCTCAAATGTTACGCGCCTGCGGTTGCATTTTGACCAATGGTGAATCAATCAATCGGCTTGTGCCATGAGGCAGTTTTGATTGGAGATGTAGATTGTGCATCCGAATGACGGTGACGAATGCAATGGACCTGGATCCTGCTGGACAATATTTTGACTGGCGTTATGAATATTACAATAAGGCACTGACATGCACTTATTATATTAACCCTCCCCCCCCCCCCCCCCCAAATTATACTTCAAAGATTATTATGTTAAAATGACGATCGCAATTAAAAAAAAAGCTTGAATACGATACGTTTCCTTTTGTCTGTGTTTAGGAGGACAGAGGAGGTGACTCAATCAATCCATCCATATGATTGTTAAACCTTGCACGACGAGTTAGCCATTGATGAGTTTGCTGCCCAGATCACAAAGTGAATAGTAATTTCACTTTCCTGAAGAAGAAGAAAACAAAAAAATCTGCTTCCCCGGATTTAGAGCGCAGCTGGGAAGTTATAAAACAAACAAAAAATAATAATGTTGCTCATGTTTGGAGTGTGGAGCACTTAGTTCAGACGTCAGGGCACTTAGCTGGTGCCAATGACAAGTGAGATCCTGGGTTCAAATGTAAGCACCTCACCTGTTATTAAAGCGGTTCTCAAATGCAGTTGATGGTTCCGGCCAGGTCACCAATGACCGCACGCACAAATTTGCGCGATTTGATTCTCCACTGAATTTTGGTTAAATTACAGCTCGAATTTTTTGTTGTAAATATTGGTCTGTCACGTTATGTGGCAATGCAGGTGGCAAAGTGCTGCCCCTATTGTGTGTGGACCAGACGTCACTTAATAGATATCGACTCCGCTACTTACGCACATTCGACTTACAAACTTTCAGAGATACGAAAAAACCTGTCCCCGTATGTCCAGTTGCCTGTTCGGACCGACAGTCGTAAGTTCAACCGCCGCGCAATAGATGGCGGTGGTGGCATCTACATCTGCAGAACGTGAAGAACCAGTGGCATCTACATCTGCAGAACGTGAAGAACCAGTGGCATCTTCAGTGAGGGAAAAAAGTATTGATTTCTGCTGATTTTGTACGTTTGCCCACTGACAAAGAAATGATCAGTTTATAATTTTAATGGTAGGTTTATTTGAACAGTGAGAGACAGAATAACAACAACATGACTTAGTACTTGGTGGCAAAACCCTTGTTGGCAATCACAGAGGTCACACGTTTCTTGTAGTTGGCCACCAGGTTTGCACACATCTCAGGAGGGATTTTGTCCCACTCCTCTTTGCAGATCTTCTCCAAGTCATTAAAGTTTCGAGGCTGACATTTGGAAACTCGAACCTTCAGCTCCCTCCACAGATTTTCTATGGGATTAAGGTCTGGAGACTGGCTAGGCCACTCCAGGATCCTGAATGTGCTTCTTCTTGAGCCACTCCTTTGTTGCCTTGGCCGTGTGTTTGAGGTCATTGTCATGCTGGAATACCCATCCACGACCCATTTTCAATGCCCTGGCTGAGGGAAGGAGGTTTTCACCCAAGATTTGACGGTACATGGCCTCGTCCATCGTTCCTTTGATGCGGTGAAGTTGTCCTGACCCCTTAGCAGAAAAACGCCCCCAAAGCATGATGTTTCCACCTCCATGTTTGACGGTGGGGATGGTGTTCTTGGGGTCATAGGCAGCATTCCTCCTCCAAACACAGCGGGTTGAGTTGATGCCAAAGAGCTCCATTTTGGTCTCATCTGACCACAACACTTTCACCCAGTTGTCCTCTGAATCATTCAGATGTTCATTGGCAAACTTCCGACGGGCATGTATATGTGCTTTCTTGAGCAGGGGGACCTTGCGGGCGCTGCAGGATTTCAGTACTTCACGGCGTAGTGTGTTACCAATTGTTTTCTTGGTGACTATGGTCCCAGCTGCCTTGAGATCATTGACAAGATCCTCCCGTGTAGTTCTGGGGTGATTCCTCACCGTTCTCATGATCATTGCAACTCCACGAGGTGAGATCTTGCATGGAGCCCCAGGCCGAGGGAGATTGACAGTTCTTTTGTGTTTCTTCCATTTGCGAATAATCGCACCAAACTGTTGTCACCTCACCAAACTGCTTGGCAATGGTCTTTGTAGCCCATTCCAGCCTTGTGTAAGTCTACAATCTTGTCCCTGACATCCTTGGAGAACTCTTTGGTCTTGGCCATGGTGGAGAGTTTGGAATCTTGATTGCTTCTGTGGACAGGTGTTTTGTATACAGGTAACAAGCTGAGATTAGGAGCACTCCCTTTAAGAGTGTGCTTCTAATCTCAGCTCGGTACCTGTATAAAAGACACCTGTGAGCCAGAAATCTTTATGATTGAGAGGGGGTCAAATACTTATTTCCCTCATTAAAATGCAAATCAATTTATAACATTTTTGACATGCGTTTTTCTGGATTTTGTTGTTATTCTGTCTCTCACTGTTCAAATAAACCTACCATTAAAATTATAGACTGATCATTTTTTTGTCAGTGGGCAAACGCACACAATCAGCAGGGGATCAAATACTTTTTTCCCTCACTACAGCTGCAGAACGTGAAGAACCATTGGCATCTGCATCTGCAGAACGTGAAGAACCAGTGGCATCTCCAGAACGCGAAGAACCAGTGGCATCTACATCTGTAGAACGCGAAGAACCAGCGGCATCTACATCTGCAGAACGTGAACAACCAGTGGCATCTACAGAACACAAATAACTGGTGCCATCTACATTTGCAGAACGTGAAGAACCAGTGGCATCTACATATGCAGAACGCGAATAACCAGTGGAATCTACAGAACATGAAGAACTAGTGGCATCTACATCTGCAGAACGCAAAGAACCAGCGGCATCTACATCTGCAGAACGTGAAGAACCAGTGGCATCTACATATGTAGAACGCGAATAACCAGTGGCATGTACATCTGCAGAACGTGAAGAACCAGTGGCATATACATCTGCAGAACGTGAGGAACCAGTGACATCTACAGGAGATTATACTACTTTTAAAGCTATTCCCCATATTTAGTGCACATGCCGTACGTGTTTGGAATCGACAGGAGTACGAACAGACCTGGAACCGAATCGTTCGTAAGGAGTCTCTACACTTTCGTGGGGCGTTTTCTAACCCAAAGGGATTGGCACTGTTCAACCAGAGATCCAATTGGATTGTTCGTCTCGTGGTATGACGCTGGGTGCACTGTCGGCTACAATTGGGGCACCAGACAATGTGGCAGGGTACTTAAAAAAATGGTTTAACACTTACATGGGGAAAAATAACGGCTAATAATACACTGTAACATGATAACAATGTGACGTTAATAGCTTTAAAAGGGTCTCAACTTGTTCGCCATCATCGTCAACGCGTGGCCTGGATCTTCTCCCGGTTGTCTCCAGAGCCCGGAGGGCGCATTTATCGTGGTGTTGTTGCAAATTCTCAGAAGTGTTACAATTTTTTTTTGCATTTTTTAAAGTGATTAAATGTTGAAAATCAATCCTGCTGAAACGATGCGCTCCCAAAAGGCCGTGTAGCTTGATTGGTTGTGTACAACACAAATACTTTCCCGCAGAGACATGAAGTATTATCCGCTTACCCACGTGATTTTCCGACGTTTTCCTTCAGTGCGTACGTAACAAACAATCAAAAAAAATAACCACGCCACACAAAGCGCACGCTGACGCGTTAGGGGGCGCTTTAAACATTAAAGGTGAAATCTTGACTTGAGCTTTCGTGACCGCAGGAATCCATACTCTTCGATTCTTTCGGTAAAGTCGCGTAGTTAGAAATAAAATAACATTAAAACAAATCACGACGTTTCGATCGCTTGTGTTGCGATGGAAACGCCGTGATTTGTTTTAATTTTATTTCTAACTACGTGACTTTACCGAAAGAGCAAAGAGTATACAAAAAAAGCGTTTCTTTTCTGTTACTGTCCATCACGTCGTCCCGGGACAGCCGATCGCGATCTGCTGCGGGTGCATTGGCTGGTCACCCACGGTCGCAGCTGCCGAGATTTCTGGGGTCATTTTGGGGTGATTTGATCACGGATCGTGTGCACGTGTCTCAGTGCGAACAGCGAAACCACCCGGTTTCTTAACCATGTACAACAACCAACAATCAACACATTTGTCAAGAGCGCAATGGGGACTATTAGGTGACGTTTCGAGCAATTTACCTTTATATCACTGTTCTAGGCTCATCATACCTGCCAACCAATCCGGTTTGCCCGTATTCTTGTACAGGGAAATTGAGTTAAATCATTTTTTTTGTCAATTTGTTTGTGTTTCTCCCTTGTGATGGAACTTTTTTTTGGATGAACGTTGAGATTGATAAGGGACACGGGGGGACCAATACGGTCTGAAATGGTCTGTAATAAGGTAGGGGACTGATAAGGGGTTGACAGCTGTGGAGTATATAGACGATAGCTCTGTGCTATGCAGAAGAGCCATTGCCCAAACATTGGCGGTTATATTTCCATTCAAGGCAGCGTTGATGATGGCGTCGAATTATTTTGTTGTGTTTATGCACCGCTGTCAACGCATCACAAAACGTGAACCCATGTTGCTATATTTGTAAAGGTTGAGGAGTTATGTATAAGGGGCCGTCCATAAATGACGTCACGCGACTTTGGCCGATTTCTGACCCTCGTCACACGGCGTCACAAAAAGTCAGACCCCCCTCAAATATGACGTCACAAAGCTCTGCCCCCCTCCCCCCCAAAACCATATTTCCATTTTGAAAATTAAACATGCTTCAAATCACTTTAAGCTATTGTCATTGTAGTGCGTATTTAATGTGGCGCTGCACTCTGATGTTGTAGGAGAAAACATTTATTAAAAGGAGGCGTTGGAAAGCTGAAATTTAGCATAAAATTAACTTGAAAATTTTAACGTCTAACTAAAACTGCAGATGTTCAGAATATTATATTGCAATCACTCTTATAATTATAAAATATTAAAAGTAATTATAACTATAAAAAAGACTTGAAACTTTGTCGTAAAACGAAGCAAAATGGAGAGTACAATTATAACAATCATATTCATTCCACAGAATGAAAAGCCCTGGTAGAATCATTAAAATTTAAATGTTTAATAACCATTTTAAAAAAATGTATGCTTCTCCATTCTCCCATGGAGAAGCAAAATGCTCCTTCATGGAATAAGAAAAAGGTGACCTTAGTAACTTTAAATAATTAAATAGTTAATAATGAAAATTACTCAAAATTAGTGTTGTTATAACAATTCTATTGTTTATATTTATTTAAAGTTGCGCATTTTGATGTGACGTCACA